CCTCAATCAATATATAAGTGTATGTGTCAATCTTTCTCCCTTTGAACTAGCTTTTGGGAGTGAGTTAGGCCCATTACTAATAGTATTTTAACTAAAACTCTTAAATCATCCAAAAATCATCTAAAACCTCATCTAAAATCAAATCACTTCAAATCCTCACAAATACAAGATTGAATACACCCCTTAAGCTTCAATCCTTGATTTTTTTTTTCTGGATTCTATTTTGTATGTGGTTTATCCCACCTTAATATTTAATATATGTGATATTGAGGTGAAAAAAAAGAGAAATAAAGCCACACTGATATGAAACAAGCAACATAGAGATTACATCAATCCTCGACATGTGTATTCTTGATTTTATTTGTAATTTTTGTTTTACCAAAAACATAACGCAATTAGTGAACTTTCATTTTTTCTTTGACAGTTTGACCCCTATATTTCTTGGTCGTCATTTTCTTTGATCCTAATTTTAGAATATTATTTTCTCGATCTTCAAGAAAGATAGGAACATTTTTTTTAACCACGATGTGACCTTCTTCCTCGTCCTCTCTCTCTCTCTGAAAATTTCCGTCAAAGTCACCTCCTTTAACAACACTTTGGTTTCATCTTCCCGATCTCTTCGAACAAACAAACAAACCCTAAAATTCATCCATGGATCTCGCGGCGGAGGAGCTTCAATTTCTCAGCATCGGAGGTATATTGCGTGAATCCACCACGATCCCCAAATTCTCCCCCAGAACCTTCTACCTCATTACCTTAACCCTAATTTTCCCTCTCTCCTTCGCAATCCTCGCTCATTCTCTCTTTACCCAACCCATCTTATCTCAGCTGGATTCTTCTCCTCCTTCAGATCAATCTCAGACCAATCACGAATGGACCCTTCTCTTCGTTTATCAATTCATCTACGTTATCTTCCTCTTCGCCTTCTCTCTCCTCTCCACCGCAGCCGTCGTCTTCACCGTCGCCTCTCTCTACACCGGTAAACCTGTTTCTTTCTCATCCACAATGTCGGCGATTCCTCTGGTTCTGAAACGTTTGTTCATCACTTTCCTCTGGGTTTCTCTTTTGATGCTTGTGTACAACTCCATCTTCTTGTTGTTTCTGGTGGTTTTGATCATAGCCATCGATTTACAGAGCGTGATTCTCGCTGTTTTCTCGATGGTTGTGATCTTCGTTATGTTCTTGGGTGTTCATGTTTACATGACTGCTTGGTGGCATTTAGCTAGTGTTGTCTCTGTTCTTGAACCAATCTATGGGATTGCTGCGATGAAGAAGAGCTATGAGTTGCTTAAAGGAAGAACGAATATGGCTTGTTCTATGGTTTTTATGTATCTTGCTCTATGTGGTTTCATTGCTGGAGTTTTCGGAAGTGTTGTTGTTCGTGGAGGAGATGATTTTGGGTTGTTTACGAAGATTGTGGTTGGTGGTTTCTTGGTTGGTATTCTAGTGATTGTGAATCTAGTGGGATTGCTTGTGCAGAGTGTGTTTTACTATGTTTGCAAGAGTTTTCACCATCAACCGATTGATAAATCCGCGTTGCACGATCATCTTGGTGGGTATCTCGGTGATTATGTGCCTTTAAAGAGCAGTATTCAGATGGAGAACTTTGACATTTAAGTCATGAATGGATCAAATGAAGAAGAAGAAGAAAAGGAAACAGTTTTTGCAGTTTGTCATTGTAAGTTTGTAATGTTTGTAATTTTTTTTCATAGTGTTTGTTTAGCTCTTTGCATATCTGATATTAATTGGTGAATAGAACTGATAATGCAGATGTTCTGTTCCTTGTAATTTCATAATAGTGTTTTTGTTCAAAATTGAAAGATTAATGAAATAAAGTTGTTATTAGACAATTCCTTAACTCTATTATTTGATTAGCATAATTCCCTGCATTTTTACAACTGAATATATGATGCTTTGAAGTTAATTATTGTATTTTCTCGGTTTCGCAAAGAATGTCATCTGAATATCAATGCAGAATTTTTTATAATAATCCAGTTTCAACCCTATTGTTTTTAGTGTATTAATTAGAGAGATAAATTGATTTAGTGTATTAATAATTGGTAAATATTTTTTACTTGTTTTCACGTGTGACAAATGGTAGAATGACACTCTTTGTGAAACGGATGAATATAGTATTTTTTCCCGGCATTCGATTTCTCTATGATGTTGCGTTTGAGTTAAAAGACTCTGTTTTTAGCTTAGTAAACCATCTTTCACAATTGAATGGTTGATTTAGACGAGTGCTTGTTGTTGTTACATGATTTTCTGGTTTAAGGCACCAGAGAACTTTTTTTACTTTTATGCAGCCTCTCTTCTCTTTCCAATTACTAATAGATTTTGGGAAGATATTCAATTGTAACTTCTCTTTTGGGAAACCCCCACTATTGTCTTGTAAGAAATTCACAAAGAAAAAGTCAGCTACGTTTCAACAACTACCATGTCCCAAGTTGTCGAATGGAATTCTCTTTTAATATATTTTGATCATTAGTTTGTGACCGTTGCTCTATCTCACAATTTGTAACGAGCATTCCACTCTCTCAAATTCTCTTTTGGTTGACTTAATAAGTACTATATAGCAACAACGGAGGAGACAAGTTTCCCCTTCAGAAGTCAACTGTTGCTTTCAAGAGAGAAGATTCTTGTTTCTGGATTTGTCAACAAGACTAGGCCGCGCCAGAGACGGTTCTCGAAGGTAAACCCATAGTAGTGAACTTCCCATCTTTGCTATTTAGCTCTGTCACACTCAATGTATATGAATAATACTATGCTCTAACTTAACTGGCTAGTAAGAAACTTATGATTCTTGATTGATGAGACTTCTAATTTTTTGGTGTAATAGGTTTAAGCTTCAACATCATCTGGAGCCACAAGTGGAGAATCTCACCGACCTCGGCATTGGAAATGAACAATTTAGACGGTAGCAGTGTTCAAGAAATTGAAGGACCAGGTGCTTCAACACAATCTACACCGGCGAACAATCAGGAAGCTGTGAGAGTGGATATTGCAGGACTAAGCACATCATCACCCAGTCAAATTGTTACCCCTGGAAGAGATGATTACCTGAATTTATGTGTACCTCTGTATCAAGCCACCTTGAAAGGTGAATGGAAAGAGGCCAAGGTAATAATTGATCAGAACAATAATATTGTCCGCGCAGCAATTACTCGTAATCGAGAGACGACTCTTCACATTGCTGCTGCTACCAAGCACACGGGCTTTGTAAAACACCTGCTTACAAGAATGGAAAAAAGTGATCTTGCACTGAAGAACAAAGATAAGAACACGGCTCTTTGTTTCGCTGCTGCATCGGGAACAAAAAAGATGGCTGAAATGATGGTCAATAAAAATGAAGATCTGCCTATGATTCGAGGCAATGGATCAGTGACTCCACTTTACATGGCTGCTTTGTTTGGACACAGGGAGATGGTTTTGTACCTTTACGACAAGACAGACGTTGAAAGCCTAGATGATTCCGAGCTTGTCAATCTCTTTCATGCTATCATAGGAGCTAATATCTACGGTACATATCTCTGATCCTTTTCTCGTTTGTTTGGAACATCTTCTGTAGGCTGATGCTATTAGCAGCTGAAGAACTTTGTTCAAGATTTCTACACCCTTCTGCTGAATCTTCGTGTGAACCTTCCTGTGTGATATATGACATGTGACCCTCTTATACAGATGTTGCACTGAGTATGTTGGAGAGGAAGCAGACACTGGCCACATCTCGAAGTAGTAGTGGAGAGATTGCTTTGCACTTAATGGCCCGAAAACCTACAACAATTGGCCCTGAGAGACAGCTCAGTTACTTTCAGCGACTAGCAAATTGCAGTAAGTACATAACTCAGAAATACTGAATCCAATCTTTGAGTAAAATTTTCTAGACAATTAGTAGAAATATCCAAAATGTTTTGTTGAGCTGTTACATTGCATCACAACTAACAAAAATTCATTCATTTAGTTTTTGAAGGTATCTTCTTTGAAGATAAAATGCGGACATTAGCTCATCAGTTGGTTGAGAATATGTGGAAATTGGTTATTAMGCAGCCTGAGCCAAAGGTTTCCGATTTACTAAGGACACCAACAAGGCTACTCTTCGATGCTGCATCATCAGGCAACGTTGAGTTTCTTGTGATTTTAATCCGTTCATATCCTGATCTTATATGGAAAGTTGATGAGGAGAACAAAAGCTTGTTTCACGTTGCTGCATTAAACCGTCATGAAAGCATCTTCAATATAATTTATGAACTTGGTTCAATCAAGGATTTGATAGCGGCCTATAAGGAAGTTTCAACTAAAAACAATATGTTACATCTCGTAGCTACCTTGCCTCCTCCTGAACGGTTGCAGATAGTCTCAGGGGCAGCTCTTCAAATGCAAAGAGAACTTCTTTGGTTCAAGGTAATGCACAAACCCTCCCCATACCACTCCATTTTCTTTCTCGTGTATCTTACCAAGTTAAGAAAGGTTCTTCCGCATCGCAGGCTGTGAAAAAGATTGTACCTCCTTCATACATCAAGGCCAAAAATAGCAAAGACGAAGTGGCACATGACCTCTTTACAGAGAAACACAGAGAATTGCGAAAAGAAGGGGAGAAATGGATGAAAGATACTGCAACCTCATGCATGCTTGTCTCTACTTTGATAGCGACTGTGGTTTTTGCTGCGCCTTTTACAGTACCCGGTGGAACCAATGACGCAACTGGGTTTCCCATCTTGAGGAAAAAGCTTTGGTTTGATGTTTTCATAATGTCAGATGCAGTTGCCCTCTTTTCTTCATCGATTTCCATAGTGATATTCCTCTCAATCCTCACTTCAAGGTACGCAGAAGATGATTTTCGGGTATCTTTACCTTCGAGGCTGATGCTAGGACTGTTAGCTTTATTTGTGTCCAAACAGCATGGTCGTTTCCTTCAGTGCCACACTGTTCTTGATCCAAGACTGGAGATTCGCATGGAATATAACCCTTCTTATATGTCTTGCGTTCATCATCGCATTGTCATTTGCCCTGTTACATGTCCGGCTTTGGTTTGACACTCTTCGCTCTGCCTATTGGTCCAAGTTTCTCTTCCAGACACGTAGCCGAAGATTATATCTCTGAATTTAGTTTTCTTGAAAGATGAAAGACGAGCTTTCTCAAGTTTCATATCTTCTTCAATTCTTTTTTTGTTTGACTCTTAAAGTTACAAGTCTACCATGACGTGGTGCCATAAGCTGGACTGGTTGGTTCTTCTTTTTTCTCGGATGGTAGAAGAACAAGTCCAAGTTATGGCACTACGTCGTTCTTTCGGTCTCTTTTTTTTGTTGTCCCTAGACGACTTAGTCTCTCACTTCTTAACAAAGTCAAGAAGAAGCGAAACCATGGAAAGAGATCTGGATCCTGTCCCTGAAGAAGTTGATGAAATCAATCAAAACCCATCAGATGATCATGATTCATCTCTTCCGTGGGTAAGCAAGACTTCAGAAAACCAATCACGTAGATCATTATTGTTTCAAAGTTTCCTTTCGTTTTTCTGTTGCAATTCTTCCCCCAAGTGTTCATCCATGTCAAGGCGAAGTGTCGGGATAGTTGGTCCTGAGTGGCCATGGCCATCATCACCACCGTCAAGTGGATCACGTCATAGAGCTTCTCCACGATTCTTTGAATCACCTTTCCCTCCACAAAACTCAGCATCACAAAGCTATGCAGCCGCAGATGAATCGGGTTCAGGTGAAACCATACCAGAACAAGAGAGCATCATTCAAAACCCGCCTTTTGATTCCATACAAAGTGAATATTCAACTTCACAAGGCTATCTATCTTTTGATTCCATACAAAGTGAAGATTCAACTTCACAAGGCTATGTAACCGCAGATAGATTGGGTTTCGTTAGAAGGCTTTCAAAACGATTCTTGAAAATTCAAGAACCCCATAGTCCTATTCGGTTAGCTTTCCCTGCACAAAATTCACCTCCACTGAGCCGACGTCCATCAATTGGATCCACAAATAAGCCGGCTCTAGTTGTAACCATCTGAAACATGAGAAGTGTAACTAAAATGTTGATGAATATGGCTTGTGAAATATTTGTCTTCTTTTTCCATTTTATGAATGATGTTTATTTGTAACA